TTCATACAGAAATCCACTGCGGGAGCAGCAGTGCAGCACAGAGTCAAATATGGCTTCACTGAGAGAAGGCAAACAGAAATCAGCCTTATATGGCGCATGACTGTGTTTACAGGAAACCTATGGTTCTCAAGAACTGGCTGCTGTGAGTCAGCTGAGATTTAAAGGGTCAGTTCTCTCAAATGACACAAAAACATACTTCTGCACTAAGTGATCTACATGAGTTCACTTGATTCCTGTAACTGAGAGCCAATAGACTCATATCCAGCCGGGTTGGGTGGGGTCTCTATTCCCTCTGGTCTCAGGTTAGTAAGTCGCCTCTGTCCTATCAGGAGGTGGCTCAAGGTCAGCATCACAGTCAAAATGTTGGTTTATGTTTTAAGAAGAGGGTGACCTGTGAAATGACGTGTATGATGTCTCTGTTTTCAACCACAGCTGCTCAGTAAGTGGATCATGTCACTGCCAATGTGGCTGTTTCACAATGTGAGGGTCTAATTGTTCTCAAGTCCAATGGGATCGTCCTCTGGTCCCTGTCGACTCAGTGTATTGATCTATTTTTTGGGCAGGGGGCTTGTTAATGATTCATTTATATGTGTTGGGTCTGAGAATGTTTTCCACTGTTCTGCTTTGTGTCTTCAAGCCTTCTTGTAAATAGTCATGAAGACAGTTTTGGTTGTATTTGTCCAGGTTTCGAGATTACTGCGGCTTCCAAATAAGTTCAAAACATAGCTGCCCACTGACACAACAACGGGAGATATGATCAACTCGCTGTCTTTGCTTTAATTGTTCTCACTGTTTGATGATCCAGGGTGCGAAATAAAAAAATCCCCAAACAAACAGGCCTTTACAAAAACAAATTCAAATCAGTGGAGTATTAAATGATTTCATCAAACAATAAACTAAGATTAACCAAACCCACAGTGGTTAAAGACTGTAACCACATGGTGTCTTCCATGCTCCACACTCACTTCAGCACACCTGCCTTTAATTAAAAGAATCCTGAGATGCCAGGTCAGATGACGCATTAAAGTGACTCCAATATAATAGGAAACTAGAAGGGCTTCCTAGAAACAGAGATCACTGTCTCTGATATTTCTGTCTGCACTGCAATACAATACAGGTGAATAAATTTGAATGGCAGCATTTAAAAAATGACTGAACAATGGAGACGCCCAGTAGCTCACCTGGTGGAGCAGGCACTCCAAAGGTCACACACAAAGGTCATGTCCTTGCCGCAGAGGCTGTGGGTTCGCTTCCAACCTGCTGCGTGTTGTCCCCTCTCCCAAAGAATACATAAATATTGAACAATAATGCGTCTCCAGTATGGACGCCCTTTTCTGCCAGTACGATGAAAGAAAAAAGATCCGGTTTGTCATTATAATAAGATTTTCTGTTTAAATAATTACTTAATATCTTAAAATAAAAGTTTCTCAAAACTAGAAACGTGCACTCAGTAGACTGCAGAGCTCCAATTCAAAACATCCGTTTGAAAAGTAATCAAATTTAATGTTACATTATTTGGATGAAGTAACTGTAATACTTAGATTACTCATTACCTCTTTAACAGAGTTATCAGTAATCTGTAACCTATTACATTTCAAAGATAGTCTTCCCAACACTCAACATAACCATGTGGTATTTGTGCCTACACCTAACCACATGTTAACCACAGCGTTGAAATGTAGAGTTTCAGCGTATCCATTACATAATAACATACACAGTGGTTTAGACCAAAAAAATCTCCTGTCCCCACATGAGGTCACAGGTCGGACGGCAGGATCATTTCAGCATCTTTGGGACTCAGTGTCCCACTCACCATACAGACTGTTAATACTAGACTATTCACCAAAACTTTCAGTTACATTTTTTAATGATATTTAATCATTAATCTTACATTATACATCACTACATTATTGCAACTATTGTATTTTAATAGCTGTATTAGGCCTAGTCCACACGGACCCGTGTATCCAGCTGTTCGACCTAACGACCAACGAGGGAGGCTGCTCCTGTTGCTAGCTACCCCAACTACACTACCACGAAAGCAGCGACGGGCCTGCCAACGGAGGTTCTGGATCCGGGCGGGTCGGACCTCCGTTGGCAGGCCCGTCGCTGCTTTCGTGGTAGTGTAGTTGGATGTTCAGGCGCCTCTGCTGTTGAATTAGGTCACGCTATTTTTGTGGCTCGTGTTGTTTTTATTTTCTGCACTTCCCTATTTCGGTATTGACTCTGACTTCTGTTAGAAGTTACATCGCCACCTACTGCTTTGGCATGTGTATTACATCACTTGGTAGCAGGTTTTTGCAATTTCGTGTGGATATCATATTTTTTTAATCACACCACTCGTGTGGACGAACCTTTTTTTTGGAAACCGGACCCCGAAAAACTTCGGTTTCAGAAGTACACGGGTCCGTGTGGACTAGGCCTTAAAACTGCAGTAGGTAGAAAGCCTGAAAACGGTTGATTTTTGAGTCTCATCTGAGTTAGGTTTCGTTCGTCTCCGCCCTGAGCCCCTCCTACCAGACGAGCATGCGAGTATTTTATCCTACTTGGTTCTATTTCTCCTTCTCTGGGAGCCTCGGCTCTCCCTCTCCGCGCAACAGCCCGCCCCATCCCTCCCTCGCAGACCCGCACATACTCCTGAGGCTCGGCTCTCCGTCACCGCGCAGCAGCCCGCCCCGCACATACCCCAGAGGCTCGGCTCTCGCTCTCCACAGAGAGCCCTCGGCTCCGCTCCCGCGGCCAACCCTTGCTCCCTCCGGCCAGGCCCGGCCCCACCTCACCCTTCCCCTCCCTCCGGGGCTCCAGGGAACCGAGTTCTGTCTTCCTTTTTTTGGGTTGTTTAGCCATGTAGGCAGTTGTAGCCAATGCTGGAATAGCTATTTTACCTGGTGCACAGTTCGCCATTGCCGCTTGCTCTCCCCTTCTGCCAGTGGCACAGGAACGCGCATATGCAGTAGAACAGCCAATAGGAACGCAGTGGTCTGAGCTGACCTTTGATTGGTTGATGCACATCAGCACGATACAGATTCTTTAGAGGCTGAACACAGAGCCATGGTGAGGTGCAGAAACCTATTGTTTGTCTTAGACCACTTGATTTACATTATGCTTAGAGGATATTATAAAATTTTTACTCAATTAAACCAAAACAATGTTGCCTACTGGAGCTTTAATAGAACTGAAAACAATTTCCCTGCAGGCCCAAAAAGCGTTTTCCTCACAGTCCATCATTATATTATAAAGAGACTGTTGACAGGACACCTAGAAAGATACGCAAAGCCATATATGTCTTTGTGTTTTATGTTTTAAATCATAAAGATTTAATACTGCAAAGCTATTTTGACGTCCCTGACATCTTCTCCGTGTAAAGTCCACGAGATGAGATTATGCAGAGACATTAATGCACATGTGCAGGGAGCCATGAGACAAAAAAGACAGCCAGGAAGAAAGAAAGCTTCTTTGGCAAGTAGGCTGGGTGAGCTCCATTCCCTGGATTGAATGGGCACCATCTTGAAACATTAAACCCAGATCCATTAAGGACATTACTACTTCCTGTTCTAGCACTGAACATTGGCATTGAACATTAACCATGTACTGCAGAATCCTTCAGTGTAAGTATTGTAAGACTGGACTGATATTCAATGTCTCAATCATACATTTTATTGGTATGTTGTTCTGTTGCAGACAGGTCGAAACTTCACATTTCTTCATGCTTCAACAACTCTGTAGTTAACATGTGGTTAGGTTTAGGCACAAAAACCATTTGGTTAAGGGTTAGGAAAAGATCATGTTTTAGCTTAAAATACCTGATATTGAAGGCACTATCTCGGCTGAAACTGCAGTGTTTGTAAAGAACAACTGCTATTCATGGCACAACCCCAGCACAGTTAGGGTTAAGGTTTAAAGGAACTGCTTTCTGTGTCAAGATTCCAGCAAAATGCAGCAACAGGTCACTAAAAAACACCCACGTCTGATCACTAAATAGCCGCTGGAAACGCAGGGATATCTTAGTAAAAAACAACCGCTTTTCAAGGCACTAACCCGGCTGGAGACACACCAGTGTCTCCTTAAAAATATTTGCTATTCGTGGAAAAGCAACAATGTCTTGGTAAACAACAACCACTATTTTCTAGGCTGGAAACACCGTGATGTGTCAGTAAAAAACAACAGTTTTACATGCCACTATCCCGGCTGAAAATGCAGTGATGTGTTAGTACTAAACAACTGCTTTTTGTGGCACTATTCCAGCAAGAAACACAGCAACGCCTTGCTAACAAATACCCTCCTTTGATGACTAACAAGCTGCTGGAAAAGCAGTGATGTCTCCTTAAAAACAATTGCTTATCGTGGCACTATGCTGGCTGAAACTGCAGCAGTGTCTCTGTAGAATACGACAGCTTTTTTCAGCACTATCTCGGCTAGAAACTCAGTGATGCCTCAGTAAAAAAACAACTGCTTTTTTGTGTCACTATTCCAGCAGGAAAGACAGCAACAGTTTGCTGGAAAGGCACCCACATTTGGTGACTAAAAATGGAAATGCACCACCTCCAGATGACTACGTCAGCTCATATATTACATCACTTTGGAAACACTGATATGATGCGTATGAAATGTACAAATGTAACATATCTGTGGTTTGCTGAAACGCACTATGCCTTCTGGTGCCTGGGCTGAGTGTCTGGCTAAAGACCGGATGCTTTTGACAGAAAAACTCTGCTCATTCCGGCTCCAACTTCCTGTTGACCCACAAAGTCTGTGGGAAACTGTTTTGTCTATTGCCAGAAACAGATAAAACAATCACTGAGAATATTAATGCTCGACCCTGGTCGTAACAGGCCGCAGATATGCTACAGTATGGCATGCTAGCTCTTGCCCTGCCCTCAGCCCCTCCCATGATGCACTGGTATGCAAACAGCTGCCCAGCCATGATACTGCACATACAGGCCTCTATGGACCTGCCAGCCTGGGGGACATTTAAACTTTAAAGGGCCAAACTGGACAGCTGGGTGTGTTCATGCTGCGTGGGAGTGTGTGTGTGCTGTGTATGCATTTTGTCGCTCATCCATTCACTACTAGACTCACTCGTGACACACAATGAGGACTAAGGCACCCGAGGACATCTGCTTTCCTGGTTGACATCACATTTTTATGAACTAAGACACCACTGAGCGAACACAGCTTTTACTTTATCTTCTTTGTAAGATCATTTCAAAGACTGACGAACGTCTGAAGCCCAGGGGGTCCTTGTTATCTGCAAGTCTTCACAGTTTGTGTTTGAGTTGTGTTTGCTGTCCCTCCATCATGGGTGCATTCATTGCTAAAATGCTGCTTCCGACAGTCAGCAGCCTGGTGTTCCTGCCTACAGCCAGCGTGGCCGCCAAGAGGGGCTTCCACATGGAGGCCATGGTCTACTTCTTCACCATGTTCTTCACTGCGGTGAGCTTATGGTTCATGAGACAGACTGAAACGATGTTGCTCGATCTTCATTGATTGTGGTGTTTGAGTCAAATGTTGGTGACTGAACATGCAGTTAGCGGACTCTCTTTATGGTTCTGAATGGAAGGTTTCATATTTTTCAGACATGCTCATACCAGTGTTTTTGTTCTTGTGTTTTTTGCTGTCAAACTCACCAACATGACATTTGCTCAAGAAAGTTGCAAAAAATTTACAATTGAGAGGTTTCCATCAGAAGTCAGGTTGGGGTTCAGCTGCATTTTATTGAATCTGAATCCAGTATCAAATCTGTTAATCAAAACAGAATCTACAATTTTAAGTAATAACAATTATAAACAACTCATATTTAAGAGCTCCTTAAACTCAAGTTAAAACCTAAAGTTTTGCTGGATATGTGACTCATTTGTGATCTCTCTAAGTGACCACAGGAATGTTTCATGCATCACTCTTTGCTGATAGAGAAGAGAGAGGAGACAAAAGATTTGCTGGACTCAACGTAACTCATTCAGCCATTTTACCATCCTGGAATTCATGATTGAAACAGCTGTTGAGGCCCAACTCGATACACAAGTTGTATACAGTATATGTTAATTTAAATGGAAAAAAGAAATAATCTATTAATGATCAATTGTTGAAATTTGGATTGTATGTAAAAGTTAATTGATTGGTAACTTTTTTGATAAACCTCACTGACACTGTGACTGTCCATTTGACTTGAACTTGTCCATGTGTTTCTGTAGATCTATCATGCATGTGATGGACCGGGTCTCTCTATCCTGTGTTTCATGAGGTATGACGTTCTGGAGTACTTCAGTGTTTACGGCACGGCTCTCTCCATGTGGGTCACACTGATAGGTAAGTCCTAGCTTACAGACTACACACTAGTTAGTGGTTAGAAGCACATTAACTGTCTGTTTTATGTGTTTCTTCAACAATCAGTGGCCGTAATCATGACATGACCTTGAGAAAGACACTAAGATCCTGCTCATTATTCCGAGCCATTTCGCCTGTCTTCTTCGCACACTGGATTTCCGCATAGGTTTCTTTTACTGATCTTTCTGAGAATTCAAGTTTGCAAGCACAAAACCACAATTACTGTCTGGCGGTTGTAAACAGGTTAAGTTGCAGTTGGTTTACATCCATGTCTGTGAAAACATGGATGCTTCACACACAGACGATCTATACAGTCAGCACAGTTTCAAGTTTAGAGTCACCGATTCAGTATCTGACTAAATGTCTCCCCTTCTGTTCCAGATACATGATGTTTAATAATGTCCAGAAGAGCATTACGATGTCACAGTGAAGTTGACCTTTGACCTTTTAGATATGAAATATCATCACTTCATCGTTTTATCATTTTAGACATTTGTGTGAATTTTTTGTCGTAATTATGCATGAAATCTTGAGTTATGCCTGTGTTCTGTGAATCACAGTAACTTTGACCTTTGACCATCAAATTCTAATCACTTCATCCTTGTATCCAAGTGAACGTTTGTGCCAAATTTGAGGAAATTCCCTTGAGGTGTTCTTGAGATATCATATTAACAAGAGTGAGACAGAGGAGGTCACAGTCCGAGTGAACGTTTGCTCCAAATTTAGGGAAATTCCTTCGAGACGTCCTTGAGATACGGTGGTAACGTGTGAGGGATGGACGTAGGGACAGACGTACGTAAGATGGACAGGGAACTCGAAAATACAATGTCTCCGGCCCCGGCTGTCGCCATCACAGAGGCGTAAAAAACCCTCATCAAAGAAAATAAAATGATGATTAGTTGGTATTAAACAACATTTCCCAAGGACAAGTTTAAAAACAGCCAGCTCTGCCTGGGACAGTTGTTAATGACACATGCTGTGTCCTTGAGTTCAGTTCACATGTGCTCTGACATGTTTGCTTTCACTCTCTCCTATGATTCCTCTCTCTCACACACACACACACACGCTCACACACACAACCACACACATTAATACATCTGCTCCCGTCCCATGCCCGTCTAAGCCCTGAGGTTTTGCATCAAGGGCTTTAAATCACGTGAAGGACCAAATGCTTCGACAGCTGACTCCACTGATTGGTCCCCTTCTCTTTGTCGGGCTCAAGCTTACAAGTGTCACCAAGCGAGAGTGTATTTATTATTCCAGATCTGTTCTGATGTGGTGTGTTGATTCGGACTGTTTTGAAAGTCCGTTTTTGTCTGGCAGATCAGCCTCCAGGATTTTTGACAACACAAAATATGTTACAAAGGACAGAATGCAAACTGTGAGGAGGCGTCACACTGCCACGTTTGGCTGAAGTGAAAGCTTTCAGATTCTTGGGCTTCCTGTGCCTGGTGCTTACTGTAGGCTGCCTTCATTTTCAAATCACTTTCCTTGAGGCTGGATTTATGGGAATTCTAAGGGCTTCCTGGGATCCTAGATAAGGATGAGGATTTGTGTAATGTTAGTCTCTACTTCAGTCTTTCAAATGACCGTTTGTAAATCAATAACTCACCCCATGTTATGTTGAATTTGTGAATCTGGCATGCCTCCGCGGTGAACGAAGAATCAAAAAACTGAGAAAATTCTTGATGAATTCAAGTCATGGGGGTGCAAAACTAAATTAAAACATCGATTTACAAACTCTCACACAACTCATGCAGTGTAATCCAAGTCTCACTTGTCCAGTCGTAACCTTAACTGAACTGAAACTAAAACTTATTGATGCTCAAATGCCAAACTCCATTGATAAAAACGGTAATTTTACCTCACTGAACACGGGAGCTGCTGGTCGACCACTGCCTCAATCAGTCTGTTTGTTTTATTGTGGGACATTGCTTATCCGAACTACCCGTTAAAACAACAGAGTCACACAATAACTAACTGAGTGAGCAGCAGTAGACCAGCAGCTCCCATGTTCACCGAGGTAAAATCACTTCATTTGTCAATGAGGTCTGGCACTGAACAGAGGACTTCCACGTTGACTGTCTGTTTGGGAAGTACAGAGCATCCGGCTGGATAAATGAGACTTGGATTATACTGCACGAGCTGTGTGCAACTTTGTTTATGGATGATTTGATATAGTGTTGCTGTTGTTAAACATGGACTCCTATTACATAAATTCATCAAGAACTTTCATATTTTTGGATTCTTTGTTCACTGTAGGCATGAGAGAAGTTTTCTTCACAAATTCAGTTTAACACAGGGTAAGTAATTGATGCAGAAATCGTCATTTGGGCGGTAAAATATTGTTTTGATTTAACAACAAATTAGCCTGGTAGAATGCAAAATGCAGGATTCTGGTCTGAGTGGCTCATCTGTTATCACCTTACTTAGAGAGCAGACCAGCAACAATAAGAAACCTGGATCCAGTTTGTGTTACATGCAGTTTATGTCTCTTTGTTCCAGCTCTGGGAGACTTTGATGAACCACAGCGCTCCAGTATAACCATGTTTGGGGTGTTGACCATCACAGTGAGGATCTACCAGGATCGCTGGGGCTATGGGATCTACTCTGGACCCATCGGTTCGGCTGTCTTCATCATCACCGTAAAATGGGTGAGAGGTGTTTGGAGGTGGTGTTAAAACTCCCATAGTATCCCAACTCATCAAATATCGCCGCTTTGTCTGTGGACTTTAATGTCTAAATATGACGCGCTGGGTACACTCTGGGACGGTGTAGCTTTTGACTATTATGTGCTCTGTGCCATTTCAAAATACGGTAACATTTTACAATAAGGTACACAAAACTAGAGTAGTTACTGAGGAACTAATGAGTAGTTACTGAGGAACTAAG